GTTGGTTCATATAAGAAATGTTTATAAAAAAATCAGTCAGCACAATTAAACTCATATAACAAAATAAGTTTGAAATATGTCAGTGATATATATTTGGAGTATTTAAAGAACACAAACAGGCTGGGGGCGGTGGCTCAAACCTGTAATCCTAGCACTGTGGGAGGCCGAGGTGGGCGGATTGCTCGAGGTCAGGAGTTCAAAACCAGCCTGAGCAAGAGTGAGAACCCATCTCTACTATAATAGAAAGAAATTAACTGGCCAACTAATATATATAGGAAAAATTAGCCGGGCGTGGTGGCGCATGCCTGTAGTCCCAGCTACTTGGGAGGCTGAGGCAGGAGGATTGCTTGAGTCCAGGAGTTCAAGGTTGCTGTGAGCTAGGCTGATGCCATGGCACTCACTCTAGCCTGGGCAACAAAGCAAGACTCTGTCTCAAAAAAAATAAAAATAAAAAAAAAAATAACACAAACAAGTGGCTGTATAGTACAATGATAAATACCAATATCATTGCAACCAGGCTAAAACCCTGACTCTACAAATATATAGATGAGTCCTTTAAATAACATTTCAGCTAAAATTTCCTTGTCTGTAACAGGAGAATAATGTTAGATCCTAAGTCAGAGAGTTGCAAATATTAAAGAAGTTGGATAAACAATGAATAACAATGACCCATATATTGGAAGTCCTACATAAATATATCAACCTTGGAAAATCTTTTAACAAAATAAACATTTGAAATAAATTCTTAGACGGAATGGAGATTTTGGGATTTAGTTTTCCACAAAAATAATAGACCACAATTCACACTTCCACTCGGACTCCTGTGTTTGTGAGTGTGAATATTGAGTCCTGGAAAATAACAGAATGGCCTCCGTTTAATCTACCCATATGTTGGCTGTTTAGCCATATCTTGGCTGTCTCTTAATCTTTCTTTGGGGCCAAGGGCTTACAGCTTCCTAGCTGCAGTTTTCATCGAATTGCCCTCATTTAAAACCAACCACATTTTCATTTCACTTTGCATATTTCTTGGGTATGTGGTGAAAGGAATGGATTATATTTTATATTTTTAAATAATAATATGCAAATATTCAAGCACCATTATTAATAAATATATATTTTTAATTGCCTTCTTTGTTTCATATTGAATTATCTTTTAAAGTTTTGTCTATTTCTAAATTTTCATCCCAATGATCTGTCATTCTATGTCTCCAGTGCCACACAGTTTTACTTACAGGGATTTGTAACACAATTTAAGGTCTCGTAGAACTAGGTCCACTCAAGTAGTGTTTAAGAATTTTTCTGGTTATATATTTTGCCAAGTCAATAAAATCCCTACTCTCAGAAATATACACATGCAGCCACAGACTGCATGTGTATGCACACTCACACACACATGGTTTATCTTCCGACCAAACAATAGGGTTTTATTTTTTTATTTTAAAAATACTGATTACATATATAAAGGACATTTAAAAATTTTTCTTATGTAGGCTCTTCATATTTCTTGATAGATTAACTCCCAACTTACTTTATACTTCTCTTAATTGAACCTTCCTTCTGTGTAATTGATTAGAATTTATTTATATAAAAACCTGCATCATATATTTTAATATTATATTCCATTAGACTATTATATTGATTCAATATAGTTTTTAATTTTTAGAACAATTTTTTTTTTTTTTTTTGGAGACAGAGTCTCACTTTTGTTGCCCAGGCTAGAGTGAGTGCCATGGCATCAGCCTAGCTCACAGCAACCTCAAACTCCTGGGCTCAAGCGATCCTCCTGCCTCAGCCTCCCAAGTAGCTGGGACTACAGGCATGCACCACCATGCCCGGCTAATTTTTTGTATATATATTTTTTAGTTGGTCAATTAATTCTTTCTATTTTTAGTAGAACGGGGTCTTCGCTCAGGCTGGTTTCGAACTCCTGACCTCGAGCAACTCGCCGCCTCGGCCTCCAGAGTGCTAGGATTACAGGCGTGAGCCACCGCGCCCGGCCTAGAACAATTTTTAATTGATATTTTGACTTCTGTGATATGCATTCCTATACTGAAGACACAACATGATGTTTAATCTTTTTTTTCCTTTTTATTTCATAATATTATGGGCACAAATATTATTAAGGTTACATATACTGCCCTTGCCATCCCCCCCGTGTCAGAGCTTCAAGGGTGTCCATCTCAAGGTGGTGTGTGTCACACTCATGTAAGTACACACCCATCCTCCTCCCTCTCCCACCTGCCCTACCA